CACCTTCAACTTATCGAGCGGGTCTCACTTATGACTGATGATCATTTGACTGCATTTTGACACTGATAATGGTTTTGGGTAAACGACTCATTAGCCGAGCCACTAAATAGCCGTTTGCAGCAAGTCGCTGTTTTTGTGGCACTTACCACTTACCACGGGCCACTAGCCACAGTAACCACTTGTGATCTTGCGTAATCGGAAGTGCGTTGATTTATGAACTTTTAGTTGCGATCTCGAGCGCAAATTGCAGATGCTGAAATACCTTTAATGTTATTGTTGTTGTTGCCGCATTTCGCTGTTGCAACAACAACAGAAACTAGTACGGCTCTTTTTGTTGTTATTGTTGTTGTTGTTATTTATTTGCGATAAGATCGACTCCGAACTCCAGCCAGTTGCAAGATGAACTTGGCTCGTACGGCTGACAGTAACTGGGATTCAGTGAGCTTCATGCCGCACACGTTGCGCGGCTGATTACGATGACGATGTTCAGTTCGGCTGTTGTTGGTGTTTTTGTTGTTGTTGTTTTTTTTCGTATTTATTTTTTATACCTCAAGTGTCTCCAGAGCGGGGCAGACCGCCGGCCGCTGACAAATGACCACTACAAGTGTTTGTGACAAGCCGCAAGCATTTTTTATTTATTTCTATTTGCGAAGACGATGACGACGACGCAGATGATGATGAATAAGCACCGGCGGCAGCAAAAAACAATTAACTTTAAGCCGAATTGCAATGGCAACTCTGACTCCAACTCCAACTCCAACTTAACTCTCCTGTCTCTTGACCTAGGCCAATTGTTTTGAGCTTAACTTTGAACCTGTGTTCGTATGCTAATCTTGTGTCAATCACAACATGATCGGCTTCCGCCCCCTTCCGTGAACCGCGTATGCAAAATGTGGCAAGAAGACAATGGCAATTTGAATTGCAGAACTGCAGAATTTCAGAATTGCCAGTGATCTGAGTTTGTGGCAGCCACAGTTTGTGTCCTGTCGCTGTCGCTGTCTCAGTCTCCGTCTCTGTCTCGGTCTGTGTGTCACTTAATAAATTCTGATGCAGAATTTTTGCATGCACCAAATTTCAAATATCAACTGATATGTTAAGAGGCTGTCAGCGTTTGACTTTGACGTCATCTTACATGAAAATGAAATGCAAAAGATCAAAACAAAAGACCAAACAAAAATGTCACACACACACACATATACACACGAAATTCCTCATTCACAGCGCTAAAAGTATAAGCGTATACATATATATACATATATATGGATATATGTATATGCAAAATCCAATATGTCTATATAGTATTTCATGAGATGACTAGACTAAGCGAGCGAAATGGGCACAAAGTTGTAAAACGCTTCGAATGTTCGCTCATTGGCGCTGTCAAGAGCCGACATGCCCATGCCCATACCCATGCCCCTACACATAAGTATGTGTACTCATCCCGAGCCCATTCCCATGCCCCTGCGATAAGTGATATGACACGCCAGGTGCCAGTGCCAGTGCCAGTGCCACAGCCAACTGCTGTCAACTTATGGGGCTTTGCGCCTGGCCATGACGACAAGCGACAACGATGCGCTACTTATGTATGTATGTATGGATGTATGTATGGATGTATGTATGTATGAATGTACGCATGTATGTGAAGAATGAATGTATGTAGATATGTAGTTAGTCCCAGTCACACTCCCATTCCCACTCCTACTTCCAGTCACAGCATCAGCACCATTCCCATTCCCATTCCCATTCCCAGTGTCAGTTTTGCAGCCGCATTGGTGACATTTAGTTGAGCCCTCAACGGGTTGCCGGGCAATCGGTTTGGTTTAGTTTGCTTTGGTTTGGATTCTGTGTTGATCTTTAGCTGGAAATCAAGTCTCCCGTCTGAAGACTGATTTAGACATAAATAATGCTGTTTGTTAAATGGAACACGTTTCCAGGGCTACAAAATACCCCATTCATGTGGTCTTAGTTTTAAAATAAATTCTAATATCCAGCAAAAGACATTATTAACAAAAACTCAAAATATTCATTCAATTTTAAATTTAAAAAAAAATAAAAAAATTTGTATTAATTTTGTATTTAAACATAAAAGTTCTTGTTTTTTTAAAATTTCAGTTTCAACTTAAAACTTGAGAGTATTATAATTGTGAAAGGTTTCCATACCAAATCCCATAAGTAATCCAAAAGATGCTGTTCAGGCATCCCCAGCTACTTTACATGTATCTCACAGATACTTTACGCGCATGATGACTGCGGCCGCAGCTGTGAGTGTGTTGCATGTGTAAACAAATTGCAACATCTTATGACAGCAGCATTTGACAATTGTAAATGGTTTGGCGGCAGTGCAAGTGTTGTATGCACCCCTGTCCCCCTGTCCATGATACCATATACAAACCAGAAGAGGAGCAAACCGGGAACGTTCCCCAACTGGCCTCCAGCTTGAATGCATATTGATTTTCTATGGACAATGCAAGTTTTTTGTAGTCCATTTTGTTTTTTAGCTGGGCAAGGTCAGCAATGGTTTGAACAATAAGTGCAACCTGCAAGTGAAGCTGCGTCTGCACTTCATACATCACATGCCACTGAATGTTGCATGAGGTGCTGCCTTGGCCGAGTGGTCGCCGTCTGCAAAGTTTTTGGCGTATTCTGGCACTTTTTGATATGCTATGTGGTCTAATGGTTTGCGAGAGTTATTAGTTTCTGAATCAAATTTGATACTTGATAAGCTGACTGACAGCGCTGCTAACTGACCGAAATGGGTCAGAGCTAGTGCTCAAGTACTCACTCTCTCTCTCTCTCTCTCTCTCTCGCTATCTGTCTCTCTCTATTGTTGATCCACATGAGTGATGGAGGCGATGTCGTTGTCTGCTTACTGTCTGCTCGCTGTTTACGTGGTCATTAGTTTAAACCCGTTCAGGATGGCCAAATTGCACCCAACGACGAGTTGTGGTTCACAGCAAGGCGCGCAGGGACGAAGACTTTTAGACATGACTGTGACTAGCGCAAAAGTGCTTTTGATGTCTGCCTCATGTGCGTGTGTGTGTGTGTGTGTGTGTGTGTGTTTGTTGGTTTTTGGCGAGCGGCGCTTCGGTATTTGCCACAGTCAAATTCACTTTAATTAAATGAGTGGTAATTAATTTCAACTTTAATCACAAATTCCATTTAGATTTCCTACTGATTGATGTGACCCGACATCTTCCGACAACGTCACGTCGACCACTAAACTAAACTAAAAAAAGAAGGAAACACCAAAACACAAAAGCAGAGCCCGAGACAGAGACAGCTATAGAAAGGGAGAGAGATTTACTTATTTTTATCAAAGAATTTAAATTTAACGTCACAACGAACTATTTTTTTTATAGGAAAGCTGACTTAAAGTCTCAATAATAAATTGTTCCCTTTAAAAGAGGACGGAATACAGCTGATCAATGCTTAGGCTTTTTGATAGTTGTCTGTTCAATGTGAATATGCTTTTAGACTAACAACAAATCTGCAATATTCCCAGTTGATCACTCGGGGTAGATAGTATATTAATTGGAAATCGATATCTTTACATTTGTGTACTTTATTTCAACTGAATATCGATTTGCATTGATATACGTGAAAGTTGACAGTTATCGATAAGAGTATACATAACTAAATAAATACAATTGATCTGCCTATGATAAACGAGAACTAGATTTTTCAAGCTACTCGGTTTTCGATTGTGATCAGTTGGATTTATTTAACTATGATAGCTAAGCCATTTGAAGAATATACAATCCTAACTGGGCACATTACCTTACAACTTGTATTTCCGATTGATAAATCAAATATTTCATTTGTGTATAATTCATTTATTCAAAGAATAAATTCAAATATTTGTATCTTACAATGCTCATCGGTTCTTTGAGAGGCATTTGCAAGCGAGCAAATGCGTTTGGAAGCATTTCTTTTACTTTGCAGAGCCCATTTGGCGTTCAGCAATGGGCCGTGACCCATATATGCTCAGTGGTGCGCTGCATAATGTGGCGACCAAGGGGTCCAAAAAGAACATTTGTCGGCTTTCCCAAAGTGCTGACAGAATGAAGCGTTCCTCAGTTGGCCTGTCTATCACATTGACTGACTGCCACACATTTCACGGAATGACTGACTGACTGTGTGTGTGTGTTTGTGTGTGTGTTTGTGTTTGTGTGAGGCTTTGTCTCATTCTCTAGTGAGTTAAATACCGGGCGGGCCAATTGACTTGGCCAAATAACACGCCACGGTAAATGGCTTTTAAAAGTCTACTTTACCACAAACCGCCCCCTCATTACGAACGACGCGTTCCAAACGCCCTCGTTCAACCACATAAAATGACAATACTCGATTGGTGCGGCCCTCGGCTTGGATTGCCGGGAAGGGGGGGCGTGGTAACTGTTGGGTACAGGAAATTGTCATTATCTTTTGGGCCGAGAGCCGCGAGCCGAGAGGTGGGAGGAATGCACTGAAATTGAGCAGCAGCAGAAGCAGTACCTGTCGAGGCTCTAGTATGTCTACCAAGAATGATACTGCATCGAGCCCCGTTCCTTGGGCGAGCATATTGTTGATTTCTTTGCTAACAACTATAACAATGAGAAACGATTTCGGCGGTGAAATCAAATTGCACCTTGACACGTCATATTTATGAAATGAGCATCGTTGCAGAAAATCACAATATAAACAACAAAACTACCTTGCCCCATCGTAGACAAGAAAGAAATAAAAAAATGGAAGGAAAAGAAAATTAAACTTAAACTTAATTTGAACGGTGCCTTGTCCACTTGAGGCCTTGTCGATTGCCTAGAAACGCCCTCCAGCTAAGTGTAAAAAATGTTGAGAACAAGATTTACGTAGCATTGATTATGGACATTGGGCTCGTTCCTGGATTGTATTATTTCGATTCTTAATTATGAATGTAGAATTTTAATTTTGTTGTTTTATTTCCCTTACTGAACTCAGTTTGCAACATGTTCTAATGCTAAACGGTTTGACAACTTTTGCAGGTACTGTGAATGCCAATGGCGAGACGAAACGACAACGGACCTCATACACCCGCTATCAGACACTGGAGCTGGAGAAGGAATTCCACTTCAATCGCTACCTGACGCGCCGGCGACGCATTGAGATCGCGCACGCGCTCTGTTTGACGGAGCGACAGATCAAGATCTGGTTTCAGAATCGCCGCATGAAGTGGAAGAAGGAGCACAAGATGGCATCGATGAACATTGTGCCCTATCATATGGGCCCCTATGGCCATCCCTATCACCAGTTCGATATCCATCCGTCACAGTTCGCGCATCTGAGCGCATAGGACGCGTGGCACTTTTCGGGTACTGGTTAGAGACTCAATCAGTTGTATCAGGAACCATATCAGGCGGCGGCAGCGGCCAGCGTGGCCGGCGGCTATCAGTCACAGGGCTCTCAGGATGCTACAGCGGCCTCGGTGCTCGGCAGCGGCAGCGCCAATGGCGGAGGTGGCAGCAATCTTGGGGCCGGCAATGCCGTCTCCAATTCGCTATTCAGCTCCGCCGCGGCGGTGGCCAATGCCAGCAATGCCAATGCCGATTGCATTAAATATCCGCAAGAGTTCTGATCTCAGGTTATCATCAGGCAGCACCAGCAGCAGCAGCAGCAGCAGCAACAGCATCAGCAGCAGCACCAACAGCAGCAACAGCTGCAGCAGCAACAAAAACATCAACAACAACAACAACAACGTCAGCTTGACCAGCTGCTGGACTCGGACTGTGAGCCCGAGCCAGAGCTGAGCCAAGACCTGGAGCTGGAGCTGGAGCTGGAGTACAAAGCGGATATTGTGGACTGCAATTTGTTCTGCTGCTGAGCCGGTGCCTGTGCCATTGCAATTGCCACTGCCACTGCCTTGCCTCCGCATTCGCATCCGCATCTGCATCCGCAACCGCCGCCGCCGTCGATCAACCAACATCAAAGACGATGCTTCTTGTTTGCAACTGATTCGTGTTAAGCTGAGAAACGAGCCGTTGCTGGAGCGCGGCTCGTTTGGGTTTATGATACTGGAAGTGGAACTGTCTAGTTCTCTCCGAGCCTTCCTACTCACACACACACACACACACACACACACACAATCACACACACTCTCACACACACAGACGCGCACACATCAAACGAGCACACGCACACAGCTCGAGCCTTGGGCTTGAGCCTGGGCAGGGATCTGGAGTATGCTTTAGTTGCCGTTGGACATCCAGTATGATAAACCTCTTTCTCTAAGCAGTATTCGAAAAGCTATTAGTTTTAAGTCTAGCATAAATTTTAGGCCTAAGCCGCACAGACGAACAAAAACAAAATGAACAAAAAACCCAGCAAAATCGAACGTAATATTTGCAATAATTTCAAAGTGATTTCTATTAAAGTTAGTTTTCGTTTAACACTTAATTCTAATTCTAATATCCTCAAATGTGTACTTAATACCTATCAGTCGTACATAATATATGTATGTATATATTTATGTATATGCATATCTACCCAAATAAGGCTTTGTTTAGTTTTGTATATAGCAGAGCGCCCCACTCTCAAGCGGCGCCTTATTATGTTTGTGTTTCTTTTTATAAATGAATTGTTTTGCTCGAGAGCTACTTTTTAAATAATGTGAACCGAAATGTTCGTGTTTAATTTGTGTTTTGTTGAACGTGCTTTAGCAGCTATTCAAATGCTTTACTAATTTAACTCAAAATTATTTAATACATAACTAAAAACAAACTTGTTTTATTTGCACCCAATTATGAACAAATTCGGAGGACAACAGGAAATTTGGCAAACGATCAATTTGTGGCTCTATGCGGAAATTTAGCAGATTTCTATAGCTCTATGGCCACTGAGAATCATCTATAGCTCTCTCAATAATATTATTTCGAGTTGAATCACATCTTTTATGTCTGTAAATCGAAATCCTATAACAAATTCTATACATATTGTCTTGTAGCGTAAGTGTGCATTACAATTGAATATATATATATATGGCAATGCGCAAATTGTTAAACCCTTAAGATTAAAAATAAAAACAAAACAAAAAAATAAAGATAAAAAAAAAACAAATCAGAAAACTGAAAACAAAAACCTATATCTAAATGTAATGTAATTATTTATGCTGTACTTTTCGCTAAGCTAAGGTTAGTGCATTCTAGAACCTATCGGTAGTCTATGTGAACCTAGCTGATAAGCCTAAATTATATGTATCGAATTAGCAAGACAAATTTTAGTGAAAAGTAATATAAATACAAAACCAGGGCATTAAGATATTAAACAAGAAAAACACACAAAACAAAAAAATGAACAGGCAAACTCAAACAAAAGGAAAAAAAAACAAACAAAAAAAAACTTAGCACAAATGAATTAATTGTTTTTGTTTAATTTATGTATATTTTTGAATTTGTCCAAACGAATTGATTTCTCAATCAAAATGCAATTCAAAGTTTGTAGTTTTGGGATAGGGGAGCACATCGTGCGTCAGAGCAAAAAGTTTAACTGCATTCCATGTAAAAATAAAATTATATAAATAATTTTAAATGAGATCCATATTTATACAACGATATGGGTTCAATTGCGTATGCAATGATTATAAAATGAAACTTTCAACTATAAATCCATAAAACCATACAAATATAAATAAATCAAAACAAACAAAACATATGTAAGCATGTATGAATATGGCATAAAAATAAAACTATTTTAAATTGTAGAGTCCATAGTGTTTTCCTGGATTTGGTAATTGCTTATACTCCTCCTAGTCGTATGATCCTGTTTCTATCGACTTTATCAGAAGTGTTCCTTGACCATCAGCAAATGTATGCCCGGGTAGCTCAGTCGGTAGAGCATTGGACTTTTAATCCAAGGGTCCAGGGTTCAAGTCCCTGCTCGGGCGAGCTCTATTTTTTTATGAATGTCTTTATTTGTTTTTTAAACATTCTTTTTTGAGAAGCACTTCATTTTCAATAACTTTTTAAAAATCAAAAGTATTTTAATTTGGACTGTATTAATGTCGTGGCAGCGTGCTCTAGGTGTTAAAACATGTAAGCAGTTCAAAAGCAGTACACTAACAAAGCAGTTGCCTAGCAACGCTGTGTGAACAGCACGTATGCAAGATTAGAAGCAGTGTGTTCACGCGTAGTAAATGGCCAATATTTTAAATGAAAGCAGTACATCGGTAGAGCAGTACAAGAAACGCAGCAAACAGTTTGACAAAAAGACGTTGAGAAAGTACTCACTTCGACTGGAAGGTTGGCAGCTTCTGTAATCACGCCTCTGTGAAGTCTGATTGTGGGATGGCCTGAGGCTGGGGATCACTGTGTAGTGGACCAGCCATGTTGACGGAACGTCCGCACTAAGCTTGCCATCAATATGGGTGCCGCGGAGGAGTCCACGGCATTCAGGTTGGCTAAGGAGGGATGAACCGGGCCAGGGGTGAAAACCAGCAGCCAAGAGTTCCCGTGGTAGGCAGTAGTGGGATAGCGTACCGGAGTGGACTGCCATTATCAGCCTTGCCAATTGTTGGACCGCAATCTTTTTGCCACAAAACATTTTTTATATCCACTATTTTTTTGATATGCAACTTGCCTTCACCTAGATGTAGATGATACCGTCTTTTAAATTTTCACCATACATTTTGCGGTCTGTGGTCACAAAATTGATTTACAGTTAAAGGATACATCGCTGGCCCAAAAACTAATAAAATTGAGAATCGAGTGCCCAATAGAGTATGCGAGCTACGAGCAATATTGCAAATAATTTCGCACACATAGAACAATTCTATACCTACTCCCAGCATGCAGGGCTTTGTCTCTATTCTATTGGAGAATATGAAATTTGTATACGAATAAAAGCCAGTGAAGCATTGACTTGTGTTCGCTGCTCGACTCGCTAAGCTTGCAAAATTTTACGATTCGCTGTTTTAAAGACCCGAAGCAGCAGGCGACCCACGACCACAGATTTTTATGCAATCAAGTTTTTGTCGATTTGACGCTTCTATGTGTTGTCTGCTTAGTGCCTATTCCCACAAATAGACAGTGCACTTAGTCTACTTATTTATTGATAACTCGATTGGTTTACTGACTGACCTAGAATGCAAATAACCCCTCTGACTTCCCTCACCACAAATATTTCAATAATAGTTAATTGTTTCGCTTGTGTATCGGTCAGTCATATTTCATTAGTTCACTTGAAATCTTGAAATGAAAGCACGTCGTTAATATTAAGAGTTAATTACGAATCGAAGATTTGATCAGTTTTATAGAGAAAATTGAGACATTTACGCAAAGTTCTGTTAATACTTAGCTGTCTTCCGGATGAGATCACAGCGGAGATTCCCGGTTGCGATTATAATGATACAATTGATCAATCGAATATAAAACCCTTCGAAAATGGATCTTATCTTTACGCAAGTGTTTTGATGAATCAAATGTTAAAACCTGGAGAAATTACACTGGCAAAGTGGAATACATTAAAGATTACCAGAGAGGGTGTATGTGTCACCAGAAATTGAGCTTACACTTGTGTTGCACAAGTTCTCACAAGTTCCTCAAAAATTACACTTTTAGTATCAAGTAAATGTAGTAGAGAAACTTGGAGTTCTAACCGACTTTGAGCAATCTTGTGACACGTATCCTGTGAATAAAAGTGAAGAGCCGCATTGGACTTTGTTTGATGTTTGATTCAGATACATTAAAAGAACGGATTATTATTCGATCATAAATGGAATATTCAGAGACGCGATTATTGCCAAGTTCCAATTAAGGTTAACGACAACAATTACACGTTTTTGCCTTATTCTTCAAAACTTCAAGTACCCGTAAAAGTAAAAGTAAGCCAAGTCATTAACGAATTAACATTCCTATTCCCAGTTAATCCGAATGAGACGTTGTGGGTTCTTTCGGTATTTTGTACGATTCTTAGCAATGCTACATATCTCTACTTGTCAAAGTTTCGCGAAGTCTACGACCAATGCTGCCTATGCCACTTTGCCTGCCTCACAGTAAGCTTTACGTTACTGTGGACCAAATCCCTTATTCATGAGAAAATACCTTCAATATGAATGTGAATTGCCTTAGGTGACTTAAATTAAATGTAATAATATTTAGCTGCGTTTCATGGGGTACAGCAGTATGGCTAATGATAAACTTTACTTATGGAAGATGTATAGGAACATTGGTTTGACGTTAAGTCACAGTTTCAAGAAATATAATCTCTTTTTTTTGAGTGTAGATGCTGCATTACTTACGGGCACAGGATTGGCTGAGTACTTTGTTAAAATCGAGAAATGGCAACCTGGTGTTGCTAAATACAACTGATCTGTCATTAGTTAGAATTTTAATTTTATCATTTTTATTATGAATATGCTTAAAAATACTGTGACATTAACTTGTACCCAGCTCATGCTTGGCAATGATCTACTGTAATGGTCCCATTTTGCGGGCAATACTTATCAATTTATGGCTGTCAGGACAACAATAACTGCAATATGTGGTCCAGTATTAATATTAATAAATACATCGAATATATTTTTCCTCTCTTGTTAATATTTTTACCGACCAACATATGTAATCTGCCCTAATTACCGCAAGGGGTCAGTTGACCCATGCAAAGATTCAGTATCTTGATTTGCATTTCTTGTGATTGTGGACATTGAT